TGGAGCCAGGAACAGAAGCCAGTCATCTAAGATCAAGCCAAGCCCAGCAGTGGATCTGTTGAAGGTCCCGACAGTAGATCTTTTGAATCTAATGATCCCCACACACTAAAGGGCTGCTAAATATATAGACCCTGCATTAGGGCTGTCTCGTTGAGGTTGACCACTTTCAATGCACATTAATACATACGATGCATGTAGATATTTTTTTTTGTGATACTCCCACCTCCAAACTTACAATGCAAAATAATATGTGGCTAACGTGCATGAAAACTAACCACAATTAACCACATCAGTATTGAGGTCCAGCAAGGCCCAGCTAAAAACAATCCTGCACTCATCCTGGGAACCACTAAAGAGAAGAGCTCTGTGCCAGGCTGGCAGCTGCAGTAGGTGGGTTGATGGGTGCCTCACTGACTGATTTCACCATCAGTCGTTTTAATTAGCATTCACTTTTCAGACTTAACGAGACTTCAAGCTGATTCTGCCTTTAAAACGGTTTGTATTTTAACTTGGTTGTGGAAGGCAACAGAACACAATAGCTTTCAAGGGAAATGTGAACATACTGTACACATCTTTTTCAAATTGAATAAGGAATGGCTATTGTCTCCTTATTTTCATGTTAATCCTCCATGCTTTGCTGCTGCATATAAACCAGACTAACAGGGTTTATCTGTCCCTTCTATACACTGTCCTGTTGCTTCAATCTGAATGAGCCAGGAGCATTCAAATTGCTGAAGAGCAGTGTCATTATTATGTAGGGCAACTAACACAGAAATCTGATCTGCTAAAACCACAGATGATCTGGTGTAACAGCAAGCCTCCCAACCTAGGCCATATTAGCACGCAAGAGCAAAGAACTCTAGGTAGGTGAAACAGAGCAAGGATTTGACACATAATTGAACACTTACAAATTGTAATTGTACCTTCACATTAGAGCCTTTAAACTTCTGATCCAGTTACTTGGGTCTGTTTGATTAATGCACCTTAACTATTGTCTTCATGTTAAATATTGACAATTCCCCTTAATGGGTGGTATGGTGCAGTGGTTAGTACTGCTACCTTGCAGCACTGGGGTGCTAATTCCTAGGGCGCTATCTGCATGGAGTTTGCATGTTCCTCCCATGTTGGCGTGAGTGTCCTCCGGGTACCCCAGTTTCCTCCCACAGTACAAATATATATTGGTAGGTTATTTGGCTTCTAGGTGTGTGTGTGTGTGTGTGTGTGTGTGTGTGTGTGTGTGTGTCTGTTTCTGTGTGCCTGCACTGAAATGGACTGGCACCCCATCCAGGATGTGCCCTGCCTTGTGCCCGTTGCTTGCTGGGATAGGCTCCAGCTCCCCCACAACCCTGAACTGGAAGAACCAATTAGAAAATGGATGGAAGGAACTTTTGAATTTATTGCAATTGTATGTTATTGTGGCGTTTGTGTGTTCTCCCCAGGGTGCTCTGGTTTCCTCCCGCAGACCAAAGACATTGAGTACTGGTTGGTTAATTGGCTTCTGGGAAAACTGGCCCTGGTGTGAGCATGTGTGTCTCTGTGTGCCCTGTGATGGACTAGCGTCCTGTCCAGGGTGTATCCTGCCTCCTGACTGTAGCTTCCTGGGGTTGGCTATGGATGGATTTCCTTTAAATTTTGTGAGCTACTTTGTGAAACCATTTGAAATGTAACTGGTCTTTGGGTATGACTGTCACCTCATAGACTTTTACCCGTCACACTCTCCTTAAAAGTAAGAAGTGGGATGACTATCACAGGGCAAAAATATCACATTTATTTTATTTATTAAAACCTTAATTATAGTAGCATTAAGGTATTGAAAAAGCAACAGTTGCATATTCATCTGAGGAGGATTGACACCCTCTATCTTAAAGAAATTATGTGACTGGAACATTTGAACTAACATCTACTAGGACAAATGTATTCCATGAAACATGTCGTATGAGAATAATATAGTTTATCAAACAATATTTATAATTAAATATTATACCATATAGTTTAGCACCAAACCAAAGGTGATGTATCTGTAGCTGTTTAGTATGGAAGATGCTTAGTAATAAGGACTGTAGATACACACACCTAAGGGAAGAATGGAATTCAATGGATATTTGAAAATGAATTTAAAAACTGTGCATTAAAACCGTGACCCTCACCAGCACTACGTGATTAAAAATGGACAGCTGGGCTGTTAAACTGACTTCACAGCAATTCAATTAAAGTTTCTTATCATTTCTATGGCCATTTCAAAACTGCTCTGCACAGGAGAGAAAAAGCTACCTGCAATTTCCTTTCTCACGAGATAAAAGCAGCGCTGAGGCAGCAGAAAAGCAAACCTCTTGATGCGAAGTGACCACAGGCCAAACAGAGAACCAATTCAAGCTTTGTTCCAGGAATTCAAGGCCACAGGTTGTGGCTGAAATAAAAAATAAATTCTCTCTGATCTCTTCTGGTTTTACATGCAGAAGCTTGTGTGTGTTTTATTTGGGGTTTTATCGTTCCTATTTTTTCTCTCCATCTACTGATTCATTACTTTTTATTTTTACTTTGACATTATTTTTTCAAGTAACCCTGTGTTTAAGAGAGGACAGTTTCGCATATTGAAATGTACACTAAACAACATTTCATCATGCCATTTATTAGCTATACGTTTTGTTAGCTCACCAGTGGCAGGTTAATGTTTCTCAGACACTGCTTAAAAAACTGTGGACTGTGGGAAATCGAAATTAACTTATTCAATCAGCATTGTGCTGTTAGCCGAGATGTATACAGTGATGACTTGATTTTAAGCTGAACTCTGATATGCAGACCATATACTGTACTCTAATTCAGATTTTAAACTTTTTAAAGCTTTTTTTATAAATTATGACCCTTTTAGGAGCATGCATCTTATTCCCCATTGTGTAACGTCAGATAAATAGTTGAAATATAAGGTACTGATCATTTTACCAAAAGATGAAAAATGTCATGTTTGATCTGGACTCTCTGTATTGTGATTTTCCACACTCTGAGATGCAACAGCAGCACACATCCTGGAATGAAGAAGAGTCAGAGAGGAATATCAGTGCTCCAATGTTGAGACATGACGCCAACAACAGTGAAAACAGGACAGCGAGTGAAAAATCACAGAGCAATTGATCAATATTCCTACAGTAGAACAACCTTCCTTGTGAAGCGCAGCCTTGTGAAGCAGGAGGTTCATTTAAACACAAGAAAAATGAAAATAAAATGAATGTGGCTCTTTCACGTGAGGGACAAACTTACCAAGGAACATATATCTGATCCTGATCTATACTTCCTTCAATAAGTGTAGTATAATTTCCTTAGAGGTTATATACCGTATTCAAGGTTTTCCTTTAGTTAGTCAGAGAAACCAGAGTCCGTTGCAATGTAAGTTTGAAAACATGAGAAAAAGGGGAAGTGATCTATATTACCCAAACATATTTTTCCTTGTCTCTACACTTCAGTACAGAATACAGCACAGGACAGGTCTCTTACAGCTATGTCCATGGAGCTGACTCCGGCTTACAACAATCTGGACCACATCTACCAGGATGCCTATTCCTGCAGAGGCCAAAAAGGAGACATGGAAGAAGGATGGAGCTCAAGGAGACCTGTGGCAGGTACTAATCTCAAATTATAGCCATCTGTCTTCAGATGCTCCACAATACTTTTGTTTAGCCCGGATCAAGTTTCACACATCTCTTTAAATCAGTACCTGCTGTAGCACAGGGCAAAT